AAAACGACACAATTCAATCTATGACAGAGGGCAACACAAGTGCAAAGAATCTTTTGTATACATAATGACTAACAGATTCTTCTGGCGGTCAGTGTCTATTTAACTCCATGGTGCCGTTTTATTTCCAATATTGAGGTTTGCAAGGCCATCATTGACTCATGCAATCTGTGTTGACAGAATCACAATGATTCCTCTTCTGTGACAATCCACCCTCTCAAACTGGCCCTGCACTCTTTAGTTCTGCAATGGCCAGGGATGTACTCCCTTCCTTAGGTCTCGATTAGTGTCTGGTCCACTTTACACATACAGCTAGCTCTAGACATTGCCTTCATGGCTCTCCTCTAAAACTGTCCAAAATCATGCTCTGACTACAGTGTAATACCTAAATTCTTAACCTTTGGCCCTTTCTCCCCTCTCTGTAAACTCTTGGCTTTTTTAGTTAGGCGCAGTCACCTGTGTTAGGAGCTCTGGTAGCGTAGTGGTTACGAATCGGGCTGCAAACCACAAGGTCAGCAGTTCGAAACTACCAGCATTCCGTGGGAGGCAGATGAGGCTTTCTACTCCTGTAAAGAGTCGGAACTGACCCCACAGCACATAACAACAACAACAACAACCTGTAGTGGCCAAAAAGTGTGAGCTCTTGAGTCAGATGAGCAAATGGGTTAGCCCTCATCACCCCACGGATCTGACCAACTTTCTTCAGGTTTCTATGATTCATTCTCCTTGTTGTTAAAATGGAAATAAACATGTCCTTAAGTTACTGGGGGGATTATTACATTTAAAGCACTAGGAAGTGTGCTTGTTGTTGTTGTTGTTGTTAGGTGCCATCGAGTCGGTACTGACTCACAGCGACCTTATGCACAGCAGAATGAAACACTGCCCAATCTTGGGCCAACCTCACTATTGTTGCCACGCTTGAGCCCATCGAAGCTGCCTGTTGGCCAATTCATCTCCCTGGGGGTCTTCCTCTTTTTCTCCGACACTCCACCTTACTAAACATGATATCCTTCTCCAGCGACTGGTCCCTCCTGACAATATGTCCAAAGTATGAGAGACGAAGTTTGGCCATCCTGGCTTCCAAGGAGCACTCTGGCTGCACTTTTTCCAACACAGATCTGTTGGTTCTTTTGGCATCCCATGGCACTTTCAATACTCTCCTCCAACAGCATAACTCAAAAGCATCAAATTAGTAAGTAGTAAACCGCAAGGTCAGCAGTTTGAAACTACCAGCTGTTCTGTGGGAGAAAGATGAGGCGTTCTGTTACCGTAAAGATTTACAGCCTCAAAAACCCGGTACAGGGTCGCTATGAATCGGAACCGACATCATGACACATAACCACCAATTATTGTCTGAAAATGCCACATTTCCTTCTGTCTTACAGTTTGGTTCCTGGGCCTTCCAACAGCAACCCATTACATGACCAGTGGATTATTATCAGAGTATCCTGGGGTACCTGAGCAGAGGCACAACAAAGTCTGAGGAGGGCATATAGATTGACAGGGATTGAGGGATTGCAGACCCTACCAAAGCATGCATGATCTCCTGAAGGATCCTGGGAAGGCCAAGAATGAAAGTCAGTAATAAGACAGACTCTGTAGCTACCCAATATTCTCTTCCCTTTCCACTCACACAGCAGGAGGGTGATCAATCACCAATGGGATAAATTAATATCAAGAATGGCCACCTACAGAATGGGCTGGTGTGTCTATCAGCAAAGTTACTACTCCAAAATCCACCTCAACAGTTGGACCCTTCCTACCCTCACCCACCCTCAAGTCTTGGTGGCGGGAACATTTGTGACCAAGGTTCTGAGGTCCAGGAGATACTGAAAAGAAGGGATGTGCAAATCATTCTATTCGTGTTTCAGCATAGGGTCCAATCAGTGGGGGTGGAGAAAAGGGTCACCCTCCCGTTAACAAACTCCAAAAGGTGAGGGAAAGAGAAGAGTCAGGCATAAAGCCACTGCTTCAGTGTGGGTCTGGAAGTTAGGTGCCAGGTAACTGAGGTAGTAGCGGTGGATCAAAGGTGCAGTAGAGTTTTGTGGCCAAAAGGTCACCCGCAGCTACCTACAGAATCCCACCTCTTTTTCCTCCATTTTGCGTCTTCAAGTCCGAAGTAAGGAGCTGACCTGCATGGGCTCTCTCTCCAATCTTGGGGTTCACAATGACCTTATTGTGGGTAATTATCCTATAGCGCCACACCAGGACCCGCACAGATTACAGCCTTGGAAAGCCTATGGGGAGGTTCTACTTTGTGTATAGGATCCACTATAAATCAGAATCGACTCCTCGGCATTGGGTTCGGTTTTGGTTGAGGGTTAAAGAAATAATCTCGTTCAAAGCAGACTTTTCTACAATAATTAAGAGGTTTTGCTTTTACTGGTTTAGGCCACCCGGGTTGTGGCAGCGTGCAGCGAAGCCTTGACTTTATTCTCAGCAAATGGGCAAGGCCAGCGCCTGGACGCGGCCGGAAGAGCCCCGGGGCCACCCCCTTCCCCTACCATGGAAATCAGCGGGGTGCGGAGCTCCGAGACAGGGTATCTGTGGCCCCAGACCTCTGGGCTTTGCCTTCAATCGTCCACCAGTATCTCCTCGTCAGACACTTGTGGTCCAGGGTCTGGAGAGACGGAGCCGGTGCCAGGGGTACCGTCTGGCAGGGGGAGGTGGCACAGGATTCCCGGGGACAACGCGCGCAAAGAAGCCACGTCTGCGCGCATTTCCTCCACGTCGCGCTTGAGCTTGGCACGCCGGTTCTGGAACCACGTGACGACCTGCGCGTTGGCCAGGCCCAGTCGTGCGGCCAGCCCGTCGCGCTCAGACGGCGCCAGGTACTTTTGGAAGCCGAAACGCCGCTCCAATTCTAGCACCTGCAGCGCGGTGAACGCCGTGCGTGACTTGCGCCTTCTGCCGCCCACTGGACCTGGGCCTAGCGCGCGTGGGGCGGGGCGGCCTGCGGGGGGAGAGGGCGGAGCTCAGTCTCTGGCGCCTGGGAATCAGGCTGGGGTTAGGGTGGAAAAGCTGGGTTAGGGTCAGGTCAAGGTGGGCCGGGGGAAGGTGTGCTGGTGCCAGAACCCAAGTACCTTAACCCAACCGCCACACAGGGGTCAAGTTGAGGTCGGAAGGGGCCGGCGCAGAGAGGACACTAGATGGTCTAGGATACGGGAGGGAGAATGAAGTAGGAAGAATGGGAAGAAGGCGGAATTGGCCAGAGGAGACCAGAAGCAGCGTCATGCTGTGTGGGGCGAGACCTTTGAGTCCTTCCAGAGCTCTGAACTGAGACCACCTGCGGGAATGGGACAGCATCTGGGGTGTCAGGCTGCCTGGGTCAGTGAAGAGGTAGCAGACCCGACCTCGTCAGGAGATAACAGGAACCGGATCATGCCCTTCCTTAGCCTCGTGGGTTACTAATGCTTCATTTTTCTAGCTCAAAAAGGAGACAGTGGGGATACCGAAGGGCGAGGAAAGGCAAAGTCCAGAGTCTTAGGCCCACCACGCGCTGAGCCCCTTCAAGAAAAGAATGGTTCGAAGCCGAACCTAAGCCAACTGTGGACTGTGGCTTTGGGGAGTGGCTGGAATCTTGTCTCCCAGCACTTTCTGCGCTGCGGTTGCTCTGGCTCACTGGTTTACTGCCTGCGGCTCAAGCTTTTTGTCTTCTCTCTGGTCTTTTTCGGTTGTGACTGCCCCGCCTACAGCGAACGAACCTACGGGTGGCTTTAGTTCTCTACACCCCGGCCCTTCCCCGCGGCGAGGGCAGCCTCCAGGAGCAGCCTAGGTCCTTGGGTACTAACAGAGAGAGAAGAGGAGCTAGGCCTTCAGGATGCGAGTCCCCGCAAGTGCACTGAGAGCAGGGGATGGATTAGGGTGGCAGGGTCAGGATGGGCGAAGGCTGGAGAGACCGGGAATCAGGATAGGAGAGAGATGGGGAGAGAGTCAAGTTGGAGTTCCCGACCTTGCCCTCCGTGTACCTTCAGAGGGCTGCGAGGTGCGCCAGTCGAGTCCGAGGAAAGTTTTACTTGTCAGCTCCTCCAGCGCACACAACGGCGAGATGGGACCAGGACCCGACTTTGGGAGCTGCGGTTCCAAGGTTGCCGGGGGGATCCTGCGCGGGCCTAAGATGTCTGCGATGCTGAAAGGTGTCCGGGGTGTTCGGGGCTCGATTCTCGAACTCATGGCGGGCCGGCCGGGCTGTGGCGGTCCCGTGACCGGCTCAATTCGACTTCGCAACCGCCTGCGCCCCAGCGTTCGGCTCCCGATCCGGGCCCCCAGTCTCGGACCCGCCCCCCGCACTGGGCCCAAGCCCCGTGTGCCCCTCCTCCTACGCCCTCCGCCCCCACCCGGAGCCGCGGTGGGTCTGGAGCCTGAAGCTGTCCTAGCAACACTATTTCTACAAGGTGGGGAATTACGAAAAGTTGGCGGAATCACACGCTAGACTAGGGCTGCTGCGCGTTGCGGGGTGCGCCCCTGTGGACACTCAGACTGGCCTTTCTTTAGCAGTCCCCAGACTCTGTGTGTCGCCAGTTCCCTGTGGAGCCGCCGCTCCGGCTCATAAACTTCTCGGTGATAAAATTGTCTAAGGCCCCAATGGCTGGAGAGTTGCAAAGTTCTGAGGAGGGAGATCAGAGTTGCCTGTGTTAGGATCCCAGCCTTGCAGGAGCAGGGCCCAGCTTACACTGACCTGTTCAGAGTCCCCACTCTCCTAACCTTGCTCCTTGTTCCTAACCCACTCCTGCAGAACACTCTTAAAGGGGTCCTGTAGACTGGAAGTGATTAGTAAGGCGCTGGGGTGGAGGGTGGGGGTGATCAGAGACAGGAGGGCTATTGGGCAGAGTGACTGGAACTTGGGGATGAGACAGAGTTGATAGTACAAGTGAGTGGACCTCCGCAGCACTCTCGTTGGTTTGAGGCGGTCTGCTCCATCACAGTTCAGAAGTTCTAAAGAAGTCAGAATATTTGGAGAAAGCAGGAGACTTGAGACTAGGAGACAGGATGTGGCAGAACCTAGGATTGATGCTACTGACTGAGGAGGCTTTGCCAATGGGAATCAGTCTCCTCAATCTATCTTCCTGGCCAGTCTTTTTCTCCTTGTTAAGCTTTTATAGTTAAGTATTGCTTCCCCATATACAGGAGGCACAGAAACTGAGGAGGGCAGCCAGTTTCTTGTCACTGCTTCTGCTAGTCACAGACTTGATGGACCCAACCAGACCCAAGGGACACAGGAGAAGTAACAGGGCCCTTAGGAGGCAGACTTGCAAATACAGGGACAAACTCAGAGGCACATTTCTATTTGATCTGTGTCCTTCCACACCTACCACAGTTGAGCAGCTCACAGCCCTTCCTTGTTGGAAGAAGGCATCACTTTTAGCTAACAGCACTGCTATAGCAGTACAGCCCCCCCCCCCCCGGAAGCAAGGGTTTAGTTCACATATCACATCCTGTAGAGTCAGGGGATTTACAGCCTATAGCCAGAGCATCAGCAGCGGAAACGGAGTGGCTTCCTGGAGGTTTTGCAAACAGAGCTATGAATCTGGAGGATCCCAATCTAACATACCAGCCCTTCTCCCTGATGGCACCTTCCATGTAGCCCTCTGCACTTCTCAGCATTTGTATAGGGTTCCTCTTTCCATCTATTCTCTGGAGCAAGCTGAGCTGCAGTTTGGCGAGGAGGGAATGTTTGGTAGACCTAGGGGCTAGGGCCAAAAGTCCAGGATGGGGTGAGAATGGGAAGGAACTCTGATTGTAGGACCTAATGACAACTGGGTTGGGGAGCCTCAAGTGGCCTGAGACTGACTTAGCCAACCCAACATCTAAGGAGAAAAGAGAGTCTTCTTGTTAAGAATTCCCTCCAATGCAGACCTGCCAACAGATACACACACACAAACACACCGCTAGACACACATAGATAGCTTTGATGGTCTGACCAACACACTTTTTGGGCCACTGCTGGGTCAGAGAGCAGAGTTATACCAGTAGAAAGCTGAGATGTCTCAGGACCGTGCTAATTGGCTATTAATGTTGGGGAGGGGGGTGAAGGAGGACAGGGAAACCATCTTAGTGGTTTCACAGAATCTGCAATGAAAGTGAGTTTGGAACTGCTAAGCCACATCTTGGGTCTGTCACCAAGCAGTCATTGTGACTCACTCATCCGTCTTCTCTGTGGCTTTTACATCCACATTTCCCTCTGCTCTCAATTACTAGAGTCTCCTAACTAGCATTTGTCTCCCTTCCCCTTCTATTTCTTTTGCCTACCTTCTTCCTGTAGCTGGGCTCAGGTACTGGGATTGGGTGGTCCCTAAACCTTACTTTTAGGAAGGAGAGGGAAGGGGAGACTTGTAAAAGAAAGAGGCTACAACAACAGATGCTTGACCAACCAGGGTCATCTTGAACATTGTGGACTAGTCCAGACTGTCTAGAGGCCACTTGAAGGGGCTTTCCCCAGCACAGCCTTTGGAACTTGAGCTGGGGAGAAACCAGATCCTCAGAGGGGGTTAGGAGGAAGGCGAATGATTAATGAGGGAGATTAAGAGATTAAACCTTGGATCTTAATGATTTGGGGGCACTCAGCTGCCTCCTTATCTTGACAATACTGTCTGGTTTTACCACCCTCCCCACCTGCTGGGACCCCCTCCTGCTCAGTCAGTCCCATCACATGTCCCAGCATCGCATGTAGCTCTATCCTCATTGTGTGGGTCCTCAGACACCCTATTCCCTGGTTAGTTGTGCCGGCAGGTCTCCCAACTCCTTGTATTCCTCTACAGACAGTGTGTGGTCCTCTATTCCCTCTGCTCCTAGAGATCCCACATTCTGAACCTTTCTTTTGGAAGGTGCCCCAATTCTAATTTAAGGATACATTCACATGCCTCCTGCATCCCGTCATATTTCCCATTCCTTATTCCCCTACCCCATCCTTTTATTCCTGGATACCCCACTTTGTCCATCCCAGACTGCTATGCTGTAAGTAACCTCCACCAGGTCCGCTGCAGTTCAATGGAGGCCCCCTTTCACTCGCTGGTATCTTGCTCAATAAAAGACCTTTCCTCTAGGGATTCCTTGCTGCACTCATGCCTCTAAATTTTGTGACTGTGTATGAGGGTGGGGATGGAAGGGACCTTAAAAATTAGCCACTAAGGGCAGTGGATGAGAACAGTCTCAGCAACGTATTTGCCCCTCACCTTCTGACAAAATCCATTAAACTCAGTAAGAGGGAAGGGAGAGTTTAGGGAAGAAACTCCCCGCCAGTCAAGGGTGATGGGGGACATTTGTCCATCTCACATGCTTCTGAGCTTGTTTTCTCTTTTAAGAAATGTTACTAGGGAGATAACCGATTCTGATACTTAAATTTTCGTTTCATTATTCTTGGGCCGTGGTCTGAACGCATTTTGGCTCTATACTCTGTCTCGATAAGAATTCTGAGAGCCCACCACCTTCGAGGATTGTGTGGACTAGGATGAGAGACCTGCTGGATATTGACACCCCACCCACACCCACACACCTTGAGAACCCATTAAACCCATTTCCCCAAGCCCAGGGAGACACTGGCTTAGCTGAGAAACGGACGTTTTTTCAGCGCCAAAGTAGGGGCAAACCTCGGTGCCTCCTCCCCCAGGGTGCATGTGGCAATAGCAGGAGCTAGTCTCAGTCGTGGCCCTGCAGGTGGGAAGGGATGCTTTCTCCCGGAAGTAGAGAGGTGAAGGCCGCGCCCGGTAGGACAAGATACAAGCTAGCGCGGGCGTCCCGGCGGGCGCTTTCTGGATGGCGAAGTTAAGAGAGCTGTGGGCGCAAATTTCGCCTACCCTTGGTGCACATGGAGACCTGAGTGACCTTAGGGGACTGGGTCTGTGACGGAGCAGACCGGGGTCGGGGAAATAGACCTCCAGATCGGGAGAGTGGCCCGGAGTCCGCAGCTGGCCTCCATCAGCCACCTTGGGAGACTGCCGGCCCGAAGTTGCTGCCGCCACAGCCGCTGACAGACATAAAGAAGGCTCCTAGGAGCGCGGCAGGCGCCGGGCAACGCAGAACCCTCCCAACCCAAATTCAGGCATCCGCGTCTTCCGCTGCTGCTTGCTCTCAAAGCGAGTGTCTTACAAGGTCTCTTCCTTAGATTTAGTCTTCAGGTCTCAGGCCATTCCACCTTCAGACTTCAGACGAGGCTTACCGAGCTGCTGCCAAACCCTACCGAGGGTCACCACTCTGGGAGAGGGGGCGGGTGTTTGGGGAGGAAACCCAGACAGAGGGCTCCCCAACTGCCACAACTACTTGACCTCCAAAAGATTCCCAGGAGCAGTTTCTGCTCTCCCCACACTTCTGCCCCAGAGTTACTCACTGGCAATGTTATTTTGCTCAGGAACCGCTTGAGAACATCTTGAAAGCTTTCTGCTCCTGAAGGCAGAAGGCTGAGGAGTCAGCAGAGCTCACATTCCAGGGAAGCAGGTGGGAGTCATGGTATAGATATACATTTATCAAAGATCTTGAGATCTGTGCTCAGTGGAGGCAGGTCCAAAGGAGCTGGAAGCAGCTCAGATTTTGGTTGGGGTAGGTAGGGGGTTTCCTAGAGGAGGTGATACTAAGGCCTTCAAGGAGAACAAAGTACCAACACAATGGGAATGTACAACTGCAGGGTCCTCAGGAGGAGGCCCTGAACAAAGGGAAGCATTGGGAATTTTGCAGACTGCAGCAGGAAGGAATTATCATTCTGGTTTCTCCTATCTGCCTTGCCTAGTGGAGTGCTACAGCCTCCACTGCAGTGTCTACAGCCTTTCCATGTGTGCCTGCCTCTTGGACTTGGTGCAGGGTTCGTGGGGACGATCCATGGTTTCCCCAGCACCCACATTAAGTTAAATGAGTGCCTGATAACTGGCAGGTGAGTGGTGAGCAGGTAAGCAGGAACAGGTGCTCAGACTCTTCCCTTCAGACCACCTTCTGTCTTGCTCATCCCCCAGTCCTCTGCCACCCAAACTCCCTCACATACAAGATCTTGTTTTGGTGTGGTGGAGTTCTGACTTCCACCAACTTGAGATTTAGGCTTTAAACTTGGATTCTGGCAACTTCTACACAGATGGTACCATCCTGCTGGTCCCAAATTTGGGCAGAAGCCCCATTCAATCACCTCTTTCAGAAACCCCCAGCTTAGGTCTCTGTCTTTTACTGTCAGCTCCACTGTCTGAGAGGCCTGT